TTGGTTGGCAGTGTGCCGAAAATATGCAGTCCCGCTCAACGTTGTCCTTCCACACACTTCTGTCATATAGGTGTGGACGGCTCAGATAACTACTGTTGCCAGAAAAGTAAGATATTTTTTACTAGTGTGTTCAACAGCTTTCTAATTGGCTTGCTTTTAGACGGTGATCCATGTGCCCAAGAGCTGGCTGTCGGTGAAGGAGGATTTTCTCTCACTAGGTGAGTGCATGTCCAATTAAGTATCCTACTCACATTACACATTAATCCGTGAGGACAGACTATGATTGGTGACGCAGCAACTCACCATTGACAGACGCTGCTCACACATCAAGGAAAATATCGGTCAAGGATTTGTCGACGAGATTTTCGCTTACTCAGTCACGCTCTCCTGCGCGGGCATTCACTCTCGCCGCACGCGAGCCGTCTACGCTCTCAAAGCGTACACACTTTCGACATTATTCTCAACAAAGCTGTGGTCGAGAATTTCCTCGACCATTATTCATCCTGTCGCACATATCATCTGTTCGCGAAATAGTATATTATTGTTTTGGAGCATAATATCGTAGCGTTTTTTTCGAGCGTATAAATTCAATCAGTACAAGTATCACTTGAAAACCGCTCATACTATTTGAAAGTACTCTTCCCGCTCTACAAAACCGTAGTTGTCATTTTCTTCAACATTGTAAGTGTACTCAGATATGGTACTTAGAATTTGGAAATCAAGGTGGCGAAAATCTATATAGAGAAAAAAGCTGCCAAAATAAGTTTTTCGGAATCCATCGTCATCATCGAACCTTACTCCGGTCGACCCCTAATTTCAAATCATATTCACGTCGTACAAATTGAGAATAATGAGGACTGAAAACGGGCTCATATTTTTTTTAAATTCTATCCGGTGATTTCTGCGAAATGCAATCAAAGTTGTAAATAATGACGAAGTGAACATCACTGATTAGTTTTATGTTTTTATTTTTTGCTTCAAATGTTTGTGTGAAGAAATGAAAATGCAAGCGCTACGATATTATGCTCCAACTAAATATTTGGAAAACTCAAAAATTGATGGTGCTATTCATTGCAGCTTAGATAATATAAATCACGTCGGTGAGAGAGCACATCATACCAGATTTTGTGTGTGAGACGAAAAAATCCTTACTTGCAGGTTCTACTTCGACAAGGAAACTCGCCGATGTCGAGAATTTGCTTATCAAGGCACAAAAGGAAATGCGAACAACTTTCTTAGCCTCGAGGACTGTGAACTCGTGTGCCCTGGTGAGTCCTTCTAGAAAACTATAGCTTTGCATCCGTTCCTTTTCCTCTAAGAAAGTCTTATTTTCACATCCTAGCGAAACCAGTACTTCATCACGCATTCAAGATAAGCGCCCTTGAAAATACTGTAGCTTTTCTTCATCTATTCAGTGCTACCTAATCCATGCCGTCTCGGTGAGCCGTTGATGAATGCCCTCAAGGAGCCGATAATCTGTGGTGGAGAAGACTCATGCATCAACGGATATTGGTGCCATGTCGGTGGAAGTCCCGAAACCACAAACTGTTGTCCAGGAAGTGAGTCCTGTCTGGAGACTGTGCGTATCAGTCAGAAAATAACTGTAATTATTCAGCTCGTCGACCATGTGATTTGCCATTGGAGACAGGCCAAGGATCTGAGACACTAGAGCGATGGTTCTATGACGGCGGTATTCAGGTGAGAGAGGGCCACGATGATAATAATCAGATAAAATGAGTTCTCGACAACAATCAGGTTTCAAATAAAAAAAAGAATGTTTGATAACGGAAGCGCGACCAGGATCAACCGTGCGTTGGACAAAGTCCAAGGAAAGGGGGGTCGTATTTCGCGAGGTAGCGTTAATGTTACAGTAAGGGAAGTGATGATGCAGTTGGTTGGCGCGCTAAAATTTTGCCGTTTCACGGTGTGTATAAGCCCCCTAAGAAATGTTGGTGAAATAGGGGGAAGTGAGAGGATGTTTGCGGTTTCGTGGTAGGTTTATACCCCTCTCCCTCCCCGCTCGACGGTAATTTTGGAGGAAAAAGTGGGCGGAGTTTTGGCTGTGTCGACTGGTCTCAGAATCGAATACTATAGAATGAGCCCCATGATGGCGATGGCAGGCGAGGGTGGTGAAGGGTTGACCCTGAGGGGGGGTCGTATCGAGGCCCTCTAGAAGGGGAGGGGGGTCGTAAAATTTTCGAAATCGGTCCAACGTGACGGTTGACCCTGACCGCGACTGATTCTGAATAAAGTCTATCACGACCGAGTATCCTGCTTTCCGTAAATCGAAACGAAAGCGGAAACTGAAAGCCCGGTCATTACGGCTTTCGTGGAGAATCTCGTTTTAGCCTTGCCCGCAAGTTTTGTTATTATTCAACTGTGATTTCAGATGTGCCGAACATTCACTTATAAGGGAATGAAAGGTAACTCAAACAACTTCCTCACGAAACAAGCATGCCGGCAAGCATGCAAAGGTACGTACTATTCTCTCCCTCCTCCAATCTTAATATTCTCCATTAGTAATCTCGAAAAATCACTTATCTCTGTCGTAGTAGTCTCGCATTTCTGCCATTCGCAAAAGTATTAAGCGAGGATTATATAATACAATAAAGACGTAAGAAGAAGAAGAGGAAATTCATTTAGCAGAGGAGACAGGCGGCTCTTAAGCGGACTTACACGCAATTCGCATCTACGGTTATGTCCCCGGCGATTTAGCATGGCCTTATCCGCGGTGCAGTTGGCGCGCTATTGGCGCGGTACGCCCCCTCTCGCGCCGTCTCGTGTCTGAGTCTTCAGCCGAGCAGAGAGAGCGTTAGTTAGCGTTGAAGAGGGCAGCACCGATGAGTTCCATCACTGCGCAAATCAACGGGCAAGAAAGAGTGGTCTCCTTTCTTGGGTTCTGGGCCTTTTTTTCGGATTTTTCTTATTTGTTGTCACTGAGCATCTGTAACTTAATTTTCAATGAGCTGTGTTTCCATCGTAAATCCGCCTTCGAGCATAGAGTTGCCTTAGCTGACTTTCAATCCTCATGCCATTACTGTCATAGCTGAATCGTAGAGCTCAGAAATCGACTTCATCGTAAATCCGCCTTCGAGCATAGAGTTGCCTTAGCTGACTTTCAATCCTCATGCCATTACTGTCATAGCTGAATCGTAGAGCTCAGAAATCGACTTCAAAACCACAATTCGCAGTAAAGAGCCTAGTTCTTCAAACTGTCGTCATGCTGTACACTCTGTTTCATGCAGCCAGAAATCCACGTGGCACACGTGGCTAAATTCTCGATGAAAAGGTGACATCACGTGTGCTCAAAGATGTTCTTGAATCGATGCCACGTTAATGCCACGTCAATTTCTGCAATTGCACAATTTCTGGTCATTTGAAGGCGAGGGTACTTCATGAAAAATCCTAGATTCTTAGTGAACTAATAAGCTGTATTAACCATTGCATTTTTCGTTTTCCCTCTTCTTTTTCCTGTGAGGCAGAATTTCACCAATTGCGAATATTTTTAGAGTTGAATCCGTGCGGCTTCGGAGAGCCCTTGATTGGCACCGATGACGAGCGGGTGCTTTGTACGGGAAGACAAAAAGTTGACAGCTGTCCACGAGGACATTATTGTCATGTCGGCGCCAGCGCCCTCACTACTGTTTGTTGTCCAAAGAAAAGTGAGTCATCGTAACTGATTTTTCGAAGGACCGTTATTTAAATGGAACATTGAGGAAGTTTTCACTCCCGATTTTAGCAATCGCGGTCGCTAATACTAGTCCATATAGTGTAAATAATGTTCAACTGGAAGCGGTGTAGCGGGAAGTGACGCCGCTCCTTGCGCGCACGGCTAGGTGATCAAGTCCTCCAATCGAGCCTTTACTCTCTCCAAAGCCGGTTCATTGGTAACAGTTCATTAGGGAGGATAGAAACACTGACATGTATAAGGGATGGTCCCGCAAATCATTTACTGTAAAGACCCAAATCGCGTCCAAACTTCACTACGATTCTGAATGTAAGTAGAATGCATGGCATATCCCAAAAAGAGATTGATCAACGCCTTAGGATTAGGCCAGGGTTGCTGCCCTCAACAGGCGAGATAGACGTGGTAGGTGAATTTTACATGTCCTCAACAGATGCTGATAGGCGTGATGGGTCCTAGTGCGAGCTTTCATACAGCCGTATTTTCCGTAATGGGTGGTGTGAAAACTGCGCTGCTACCGCGCGCACAGTCATGGAGTCAAGCCTGATTGACGTCCGTCAAAGTCAACCAAGTCCTCAATTCTTCCGGGTCCTTTGATTGGTATCGGATTGGGTTGTGCGAATAAAGGCATTGACTAATACATGCACAGCCGGGCTGCAGCAGGTCACACTCTTCCGCCGGATTGCATTCAACAACCACCACGATTTCGCGTGGAGGTTAAATGCGCGGCGCAACTCAAAAGATTAACACCCATGCCCGGTCCCACTAGATCCCTTACAAAACAGAAATAAGTATGTACAGTTATATTCAATCAAAGCCCGTTTGTCAGTGGATTGCCAAATATGGATAATGAAAGGTACTGGAATGATTTCACAACTTCGATAAAGGACACCCTGACTAAACCACTCTTCGATTTTTCGCCAGAAAATCCAGACTCTCTTAGATATCGATTCATGCGATCAACCAGTCGATCAAGGAACAGGCGGTGAAGATTTGCCACGATGGTTCTTCGACAGAAAGCAGAACAGGTAACGTCGCCTCTCAACCTGGTTAACTACTGAACTACAACACCATACACATTTCCGCTGACCATTAAAAAAATCCTTCCCGGAAAAACCATGATTCTATTCACCCACAATCACTGGCTTGAGACCCATCGTCCACGATAAGAATGAAAAGAACAAAAAAATTGCATTTGTTTTGGTAAACAATTCGAAAAACCGAAAGGCTGCTACGCGTTCAAATTCCCGCCGGACATCTGTCACAAATGCTGGCGACGGGAACGCTTCCACTTGGTTCACGGAGTGCTGTCACTAGAAACTCTTTTGCCTTTTGACTTTGCACTAACATCTCACACTTCTACTGCATCCTATTCTATCGATCGATTTGTCTCTACTCTCCAAAATCGACGCTTTAACCCGATTCTTTCATTGCGTCGCCTGATACGTAGCCGCCCCAAGGCGACTTCTTTCCATGCCCCGCCTTTGGCTCCGCCGAATTACCTTCGATTGTCCATAGAGTTTGTTTCTCTTCGGAAACCGAATCTTCATGCGTGAAACTTTGTGTGCTGTTTCCAGTGATCACAACTGACACATTCATGTTGAGAAAGAATGCAAGAATTTTCCAGGGAAGGATTCCTTTAATTCGTATTTTGCAGATGTGCACCTTTCAATTACGGTGGCATCGGCGGTAATGAGAACAATTTCATAAGTCAAAACACATGCAGTGAAGCTTGTCCAGGTAGGAACTCTTTTAAATGTTTGCCATAACCCCTCTATTATGCAGATATTCAGTATACCGTAACTACTGCCCACATGGAATTCCCCTTGTCGAAGGCAATCAGGTCACGCCATGTGGAATCGACCGAGGCTGTCCTGATGGCTTCATCTGTCACATGAGCACCGAGTTCAATGTTTCTGTTTGCTGTCAGGTACGCAGAATGACATCCTTTCAGCACTGATTTGTCATTTCTCTATAGCCTATGTACAGCAGCACATGGAGTACAGATTCAAAGCAATACCCCCAGATCAAGGTGAAGTTACAGCGGTTGATAGTGGAGTTATGGTTGCAGAGTTGACTAAAAAGTTAAAAGAAGCAAAGAAAACTGTCGATGAAGCCTTGAAAGGATTCCTTAGGAGGGGCAAAGCCAGACGAGTTGTAGGAACCTGCCCGCTCCACGGCTCAACTAACCCGCGCGTACTTGAATTAGCCGCACGATGCAATCTACGTTGCGTATGGGGTCGCCTAACTCGTCCATACGTTATAAGTAGTCGCTAAAAGTTTGCTTTGTAATACCTTAGTGACATTGCTGCGCACATTCGAGCCGCAACAACGGCACATCTGTGATACAAGTTGGCTACGCTTCCATGTACTGAAAAGACTCTTCGACACTGCTGCTGAGGGGGGGGGGTTACTTCAAGTACATAAAGTTAGGCGACTGCCACATTAGAAGGCAGAAGATAGTGACGGCATAGAATGACACATTAGGGAGGTAGGGAAACGAGTTATATCGGTGGGGCACCTCGCTCTGTCTACTTGATGTAGAGGTTAGGAGGTGAGCTTCGAAGGCAGACGATTGATACGATAGGTTGGTTATCCGGTTAGAATGAGAGCTGCTAAGATGCAGAAAAACTACGTACACAGTTGAGAACAAAAGCAAATCGGGACTCCTGTCCTCCTCTTGTCCTCGTAGAATTCCGCGCTGGGCGAGCCTCATCGGTCCTGAAGTCATACACGAGAACGCTCAAATCTGCCTCTTTGCTGAAACAGCTATATTTCGTCGGCGAGGGACCAACAGCTGCCCATCGGTGAAGCGTGGACAACCGCGGAGACTCACCGTCTTCGCATGTAACTCTTCATTTACGACCCCTCTTCCCTATCCAAAAATCATTACAAAAATGACTATTGAAGGAGAAATCCCAGCGAACGGGTAACCCTGTCTTGAAGATGCTTTCCTGATGGCTGGTACAGTATCTGAACGTCCTTCCAAACACATTTTCATCTCTGCAAAGACCAACAGCACTGTCTTGAAAACTGTCCCCTCCGCAAGTGTCCATTTCATTAGATCAAACAAAAAATCCTTCCACCTTCGTCAAACTTTCCTAACGAACAGTTTCTGATTCTGTCTTGGATATTCCACTGAATATAAACACGGCCTGAGACGACAACCGTTTCATTCTGCATCTTTCAGTGCTAAAGCCTCAATACAGAAAACGTTCTATTGTTGTACAGCACTTGGAGCAGTCCAAAAACATGGATTTCAGGACCCAGTCGATTTCTGTTCGGCACCTCGCGATCCAGGACCATGCACCAATTTCGAGACGCGTTATGGCTATAACCCATCCACGGATACATGCGTCGAATATCAATATGGAGGCTGTGATGGCACACTCAACAACTTCCACTCACTTCAAAGATGTACGGAAATCTGTTGCAAGGAATATAGACGAAAGCTTTAGATTTACCTAACTCGTACCAGTACATCTCGTTGAGTTCTTCCTACCGACTTGGCGGTGACTCCATTTTTTCCTTTGACGTATGACTTTTACACCACGACTAATCAATTGCCACTAATTTTTCATCACAATCGCTACATATCCTCAAAATCGCGGTTCATCCTGAAACTACTTGTATCGTTATGCTTAATTAAATCTGAGGTCTGTGCAAGCCGAATTTGACGGGATGCACGATTCTTGAACGTTCGAGTTAGATAGATCTCCTTATGTGCGTGCACTATTGTTTTGAATTATTCAATAAAAAATGAAAAATAACTCGGTATTTTACAGAATAGTAGCAAATCCACAACTTTTATTTTCATTGCAATTATACAAAGACTGAACACAAAGTAACCCGTTATACCACTTAACTAAGTTAATGAGCATATAAATAAGCACTTGAACTAGCACCTATTCAATAGACACACTCCTTTTTCAAATTAATAACAAAAGCATGCTTTCTTGAAGTGAACAAAAGAATCACCTAATTGCACCATTGAAGAGGGTGACATTGAGAAACGCCCAAAGGACCACGAGGAAAGAACGATGGGTAACAATTTTAAAAAGTATGAAGGAACAGTGAGCCCACACTCTTAGTAGTCGTGGGCTTATGCTAAAAGAGGAAGTGTAAACCTCTACCATCTAATCGTGAATTCCGAGCTCTTGTTAATCATAAATAACAAGTTAATCTGGAGCACATAAGGGATTGCTGCTTGCTATACCTTTGGACTAGAACGGTTACCGACTGGATCCTTCGAAACGTATCCCCAAGTGATGAAGGTTCAGTACGAGTACTCTGGTACGCAACTGTGACTACCAGATAATGGCGCACGATCCGGATATTCGATTAACAACTTGACTAAGCGCGATACAGTGGATATATGCAAGATACAATCGAAAGCTGACAGTGTACGCAACTAAATGCAACAAGTCATGGGTCTATTCCAACCAAGTAGGGGGAACTGCAAAGTTGGAATTACAGCAGGCACCACGATCTGTTCTACCCCAGTCCCCCTATTATAATAAACCCCAAGACACATTCAGCAACCAGAAAGGAAACACGTAGCTTACATTAACCGTATATGGGAGGTACTGGAAGAAAAAATTGCATTCGTCTGCCTCATTTAGCACCATTGAATCAAAAGTTTAGGGGCCTTTCAGGTTTAATTTTTTCGTAATGGTATTGTGAGTTCAGACGGAGAACATCCGAAGCGTTGTTGGTTCCATTAGTTGCTTTCCTTAAGCAAGTTGTTTGATGCCGAACAGAACACTACTAAACATTTCGAACGAACTCACTTGAAAATTGCTTGAAACTCTTCCTTTGCGAAGTCATAAAATTCCTTCTCCAATAGGTAGACTTCATTCCTTCGTATGATCGATAAAGTCTGATCGTTCGGAGGGTATTTCCGCTTTGTGTACCGCAGGTGTGCACGATTTTCTGCAGCGTAAAACAAAATAAATTCCGAATTTTCCATGACTTTAATGAAAGATGAGTCAATGAAACGCAAATGCCTAGGAGCAAGAGGAAAATACAGCATAGAGCCATGGCCAAAGATGAGCAGAAGGAAATGAAGCTTACCACTAAGCCCGTCGAAGTGGTCAAGCGCTCCTTTGAAGAACCGAGGCACGAGGCGTTCCAAAAGCGCTATGAAATCCCGTATTTGCTCACTAACACCAACCAACAAATATTTGTCGATCAAGTTCTTTTTAGCCTGATCCAGTGCAAGCTTACTTCCGACGACCCTTAAAAGAAAAAACAGTAATTGATCGTGTGAAGCTTTGATTAGATGCTGTGCGGTCGTGAACGTATTCTTCAAGCTTTATATTGGGTTGGAGCATAATATCGTAGCGCTTTTTTTTGAGCGTACAAATCCAGTCAGTACAAGTATCCTCCAAAAAACTGCTCATAGTATTTGAAAGTACTCTTCTCGCTCTACAAAACCGTGGTTGTCTTTTTCTTCAACATTGTAGCTGTACTCAGTATAGAGCTTAGAAGTTGGAAAATCCAGACGGCAAAAATCGGCGTTTCGACAGCTGCTATTTCTCGGTTTAAGAAAAACGCCGAATTGGAAGTTCTTTCAAATCCATTCTCCTAAACAAACCTTGCTCTATCCGACCCACCTATTACGCTCAAAGTCAGAACCCTATTAATTTCGTACAAATTGAGAATAATAAGGACTCCGAAAACGAGCTCAATATTTTTTTTTTGAAATTCTATATCCGGTGATCTCTGCGAAATGCAATCAAAGTTGTAAATAATGACGAAGTGAACATCACTGATTAGTTTTATGTTTTTATTTTTTGCTTCAAATGTTTGTGTGAAGAAATGAAAAATGCAAGCGCTACGATATTATGCTCCAACCCAATAGATTGAAAAAAAGCCATATCTTCATGGAAAACGAGAAAGACCCTGACGGGGTTCAAACTGCTACCAAGGACACGAAGTGAAAAGTATCAGTTGCGAATGGCTCTGAGACTTTCTTCACACTCTGGAGCGCGACCGAGTCTGTACTGCCCGCAACTGTGCGGGTGAATTTGAAAACGCTCCACTAGCACAGCTCGCTCGCACCTTGAGTGCATTTCCATATTTATCCGCAAAGTTCGCGGGTACTACCGACTCGGCCGCGCCCCAACTGTGCCGTTAGTTTTAAGTTTCGGAGCCGTTACGAACGCAATTTGAAATCAAACTGAGATCCGAAATTATGAAAAGCATTGACGACGGAACAGTGAAACTGAGCCAGGTTGGGCTGGTGTCAGGGTCCGCGATCCGTCACGAAGCGCGAGTCGCGCAACGATCACAAGAATCACAAAAGCCCCAATCAATACTGCGGGACGCTCTTTAATCCTACCGATGTGCTTGATGGTGATTGTTAAAGCAACAGGTCCAGGACGAATTTACGAGGTAAAAACCGTTGATAATGTAGTTATAGCCCACAATTTGACCGACAGTAATGAAAAACCAAAGAAAAACGCGGAATAAGGCTTTGAACAGGAACTCACCCTCTGCCCTTAGCGATGAGAGAAGACGCGTGCTGGACGAGTTGTCCGAACCTGCGCTCCAATTGCAATTGCTGGCAAATAGCCATAATAGTTGGCCATTTGCCAACTCTTGCAATTGGAGTGCAATCTCTAGCTCATTCACTAACAGTTCGATCACCCCTCAAACTACTGCAATTCGACCCTTCCATTTAGCTGGGGAGCCCTTCCATTTAGCTGGGGAGCCCTTCCATTTAGCTGGGGAAGCCTTGATTCCGCTAATAACTGACTGACTTGGTGGCCATTACAACAGATTACAACATTACATAACACCACATAACATAACAACATTAGAACAACACAAAAAAGAAGCAATTCCACTGCAACCGGTAGGATCAGATTGGTTACTTCACACATTGACGCCCGCGCCGATTTCGGCGTTTGTCGCACATGTGTCATTGGCGGTATTGCGTGCGCGCATACTCGGCGATGCTTCAATCTCATATGTGGGACATTTCGTGCGTTTCCCTTACGGGACCCACATAACAGATTCGTTGGAAGGGCGCGGGAGCTTTCGTTCCCCTTTACAATTATGAATTTTCACAATTACGGTTCATAGGTCCTAATAAGTGTTTAGCTTGGTTTCGTACGTATTTCTGCGAGCTAGTAGACGTGTTGATTAGGAAAATTTTCCGATAATAGTTTCTTTTTGATTGCCAAAGAAACTCGAAGTCTGAAGCGCAAACTGCATGCAAATTTCGTAATTGATGATAACTTGTTCAGTAGGTAGGCGTATTAGAATCTGATTGTTTGTGTTGAAATTGAAGTTGTCGACATGCCACACGTTCTACGGATTCATGAGACTAACGGAAGTCAATTAGTCAAAGAAGTACTGAAAAAGGTTCATGGGGAGCAAAATACAGATGTGCATACCCGGCGATGCACAAATGTCAGATGTGGGAGTTTTGACGTGCATACCCGGCGATGCACGCGGGCTGCAATTGTTGAAGGACAGAGTTCAAATACCCCCTGTGGTCCCAAAACGAGCACGAATGCCTCCGTAGCCAATCACGGCTGGCAAGTGGGCGGTCCCGAAGAAATTTCCAACCACACCCATCTTTGAGGAGTTTAACGCCCTTTTTGGGCTTTTCCCAGGTGAGTTTTCTTTATAACTTCACTTCAGATGTTTTCCAATAGGGCCTGCGTATACTTTAGTGCCATTAGTATTGAAAGAAGCAGACCCTGCTGAGGGACTGTTGCCTGACTGTTTATTGACTTTAAGTGGTGTTCATGATACTACTTGTTTCATATACAGTGCTTCAAATGTTCAAATGGGACACTTGCGATTTTTGCGATTCGCTGGAATCCCGCGACGGATCGCGGACTCTGACACCAGCCTTAGTTTTCAGGAGCACAGTGTTATTGTTTATGAAGAGTAACGAAGTTGGATTAGACCAAAAGATGAAAGGACAACTAACGTGCAAAAGTGATGGTGTCCACAGAAGTAGGGGATCTGAAGCCACATTTGTTTCATGTCACAGTCACGACCACCACGTACCACGCACTCATCAAATGTCTGAAGTGGAAGGATAGAAAAATAACGAGGGGTGAGCAAGGTAAATTGCTGCACGTGCTTCAAAACAACTGGAAATTGCTAAGCACCATACGAGTTGAGAGCGAGCAGGGTGAGCTGAAATGTAACCAAGCAGCTAACTACTAACCAACCAAAAGTTCAGCCCCAACTAACTGAGAAGCACTGAATTTTGTCAGGTGCAATGAAACGGTGATTTTTTTCAAAACCTCCAGTGGAATCTTTAGAGCTCCACAGCGTTTTTTTTACAGAATAGAACTCCCCTATAAACTACAATCAATCGTCAATCGAGACCATGCATTCATTCACTGCTGAGAGGGAATTGAACAACTGCACGAAAAGAAAAGGTTGAGCGAAACATAGATCTAATGTCATCCTGGGTACGCTCGCATTCGCACATACGTTGCAACAATAAAATGAAGAAAAAATGAAGAAACAATAAAACAAATTGGAACTCCAAAACATACCTCATTATTACCCGCTCTGCTCCTCTTCAACCCAATGCGATAGTTGTCACCAAACCGAAGGAAATAGTAGTGAGATAGAAGTCGTTCAAGCGGTTCTCGAACTATGTTGATGTAAATTGGGTTTGGTTTCCCAAATCTATAAAAATCTAAGAAATGAACCAAATAGGCACAGGTTAGGTAAGGCTTCGTTCATAGCTCGTGGCTCATGCGAGCTGGCGATCAAAGCTAAAACGAATGTATATTCTCAACTAAGGGCTCGCCGCACTGCATGGACGTAAGGCTGGTGTCAGAGTGCGCGATGCGTCGCACGTTTAGCAGGTTTCGCGATATTCGCGTGATCGCAAAAATTGCAAGTGCCCATTTGAACATTTGAAACACTGAATATGAAACAAGTAGAATCAGTCGTCATTCAGCCATCACCATCAAGCAGAAATGGCGGCGGGATTGGAGAGCACCTTGCAGTATTGATCGGGCACTTGTGATTTCTGTGACCCGTCGCGCGAATCGCGCGCAACCCGCGACGGATCGCATACTCTGACACCAGCTTAAATCATAGATTTAGCTCAACACAATCGATGTGCATCTAGTCTTTCAGCGAAAACGCTCGCGCAAGTTGCGAGCTATAAACAAGGCCACTGGAAGAGATCAAAAAGTTCACCTTTCAAAATCGATAAAGGCCACGTGACCGTGGTAAAATGCGGGTAATCGTTCCTTCCATGAGGTTATGTTTTCAATAAATTCACTCTGATCTGTGAGACTCATAATCTGAAATGTTACTGTTCATTTTCATGAAAAAAAAGTTCCAAGTAATGAACTATAGTAAAGTTCGCACCTGTCGATTTTTGGTCATATTCAAATGTACCACATTAAAATTGTTCAATTTAAATAAGTCATAAGCTACAGCGTTAGTAAATGTTGTTGAACCAGTTTTAGGTACCTAAACAAGTGAGATTTGGAGAACAACTACAAAATAAAATGCTGTAGAGCAATCCTTACCCTGTTGTAGATGACTATGAGGTCCGACCTTGGGTCCATCAAGTTAGCAGTGGAGGTCTTCGACGAATTCTCCCACTGTGTTGCATTCATACGACTATTTACATAGAAGAATAATAGTACCAAGGCGCATAGGTTACCAAAAAGTAGCTGAGTCCTGTTAGGTGACATCAATAGAATGAAACATTAACGTTGAGCAGCCACCTAGAAGCAAGTTCAGTTGAGGCTCCCCACTTTCTCCACGATTTGGGGCGCGGCCGCGGCGAGCGCGGACGAGTCCACGTGCCCGCGAACTGTGGTGGTGGAGTTTTCAAATTTACCCGCACAGTTCGCGGGCACTATCAGCTCGACCGTGCCCCTAATCGTGAAGAAAGTGGGGGAGTCGTTCAGTTGATCTCAAAGGATATTAGATCCCATGCGAAAAATGAAAAACGATAATCACTGCTACTAACAAATTCAAAACTGTTTATAAAAGCGTCCTCGCAAGAGCCGTGAAATTTCGCGAGCGTGTTATTTCATACGGTAAGCAGTCATGAGATCTGGTGTGGTTAAACTGGCGAAAATATTTACCACGCAGTTCAAACACTTTTTCTGTATCCTTCATCAAGTACTCGCCAACCGCTTGAAATTGTGGGCTTTCAAGATTCTCTCATTGCCATAACTTTTTGAGATCAAAGATGTTTTGCAAAAGCTAATAGAAGAGGAAAAACAGCATGGACAGTTGAGATTACAGGAAATTTGGGCCATAGCAAGAAGGGGTAGAGGCACCGGTAATCTCAATTTTTGCAGGGGAGCTCCGGATTGGGGCAAAAGAAAAGGGGATGTGGTTCACTAAGACAGAAAATGAATTTTTCGCTTTTCGCACGCGAACTTTTTTCGCTGCAAGAACCCCAGGTCCACCCATGATCAGCGGTGGACCTGAGGTTCCCGCAGCGAAAAATGTTTCGCGCTGCGAAACGCGAAAAAGTCGCTTTCTGTCCTAGTGAACCACACCCAAGAAGTGGGATGAAATAGTTCACACGCCACGGGCTACAATACCCCTAAAAAGCTGAAATCATTCAGTCGACACGAGCCATCCCACCGAACACCCCTTTACTAGGGTAGACCTGAATTGCTGTTATTTTTTATTTATAATGCTTCCTGAGGCACCTCCCTTGTGTTCATGCATAGTTTATTGCAATGCTTATAAAATGGTCGGCCAGTTCATAATCCTATTTCTTCTAATGAAAACGACCAAATTTGGAAGCACAAGGGGTTTCCAAAATCATGTTTATCACCCTGGTCAAAACTTCTGAAGACTATTAGGAGTAAAAGTTTGGGCTTTTCTGCTTCTGCTACCTTGCGATGAATAGCTTCGAACTGGAAAAGAGTTCAAGACAAAAGAACTTTTCCCGGTAACGAAAACTGCGTGAAAGCGATGAGAAGTGATCCGATACCATCAACATATGATAAAACCACAAATAGAGAACGTTAGCAGAGCCACTTTACCGATTGACGAAAGGCGCGTTTTTGTGCATTGGAGTGTCGTAGGCGCAAATATCTCTTTTCTCAGGAATTCTCTTATTTTTCTTAGTGAAGATTTTTGCATTTTAGCTCTTTTTTCTCGAAATCCTTATCCAGCATGTAAAGTTACATCCAAGAAATTTTATATTTGACTTAATTATTTCACATTGCCCGAGTTCCACTTTCCCTTTTTTTCATTCTCTTTGATCGCTTTTATTACACTGGTTTCCTCATTACGTGCATTGAATCCACATTCTCTTCTAAAATTGATAGCTATGACTGAGATTAGTCAATTTGTTCCGATGTCATTGGGTTATTACTGAAAATGAAGAAATTGTGACGTGTTTTTGTTCGTAGTAATATTGCTAACGAAAAGAGTAAGTGCATTACAGGTGAGTCAGCTGATACTTCAATGCTTCCTTTATCGATATATTTGCTCTAGCTTATACGGTAGCTGTCTCTTAACACTTTGACGACAGCATGACGCGCATGCGCGTCAGAATTTCACCCGATTCTGGCTAGTTTTTTTGGTTTATTTGGCTTTTTCATATTTCAAAACTGTGTGCATGCGTTATCTTATCCGAAAAACTGTGAGTCAATTACCAGTAGTGGAATTATTGAAGAAGTTATGACGATTGTGAAAAAAAATAAACAAAAAGTTGCCGAGGTACACGCATAAGGGCTGTCGTCAACGTGTAAAACCTGTCGATAGTTAATGAACTCATTCGCAGGGCTAAAATTATGAACTTTCACATTTTCACAGTAGTTCCGTGGCTATATTCCAGGATGCTCCGGTCGCTCGTAGCCGGCTGGCACCGCATCGCGCAGGACGGACAGTGGTAATTGGTACGAAATTTGCATTTGAAATTGGAAAATGGCGGGAACGTCAGATCGTTCAATGTTGCAGTGCTTCTATTTGGGCTTTCGATTAACTCAATGTCTTTGAGAAACTTCAGTAGACCTCTACAAAGCCGGCACAGCTTCGCGAAGGCGTCTTTGGCAATGTGATTCAGCGCGAAATTAGTTTAGCACTGACGTGCTAAATTTCTCCGGAGCGCTTAAAGTTATAAGTGAACTGGCACTGAGTGTGATTCTGTCCTTTCAGACACCTTACCCAGTACCTTTTGATCGTACCGTACCGTCATCGATCAATGTTGATCTCGAATTATGGGCGGTTTTATAAAGTCCAATCGATGTAGTGGCGCGGTTTCTGTTTTCCCAACACTGACGGCATATGCGATGCCGGCATTTTTATCGCTGAAAGTGCTGAATTCCTTTCTGCTTTTCACTCCTCTCTTCTCGCATTCTGTTGCTCTCCCACGAGCTCTGCCAGCCGCAGAGAACGCCGTGATCCGTCTGTAAACTTCGCCCGGTCCGGAAGTTCTCTTGGTTCCGCCCAAGCATAAGGTTTCCCCATCTTCTTTGCTCATATTCAAATTGCGGGTAAAATTATATCTGTCATGCTATTTTTGAATCACATGAAATCGAAAACTACTGAGGTGGGATTCCGAAACACTGGAACCACCTTGCTGTGCTGCCTTCAGCAAAAATCTGTGAGGTTGACCCTGGCACGTAGCGGTCACATGGCATCAAAGGGTTTTTCGTTCCGATTGTGTTGCTGTCGAGGCCATTCAGTGTACAATGATCTTTGCGATCACTCACTAATTATTACTTCCTCTCTCTTCATACTCTTTATCCTAACACTTGTAACCATCGCCCCAAAAGCGCACTATGGCTTGTCAGCATTTCGTGCATTCAATCATTTGATCGCTCGTTGTGTCGCGTCGGTTTCAGTGATAAAAAACAAGTGCAAAGAGCAGCAGATGGTTGTGTTTGCCCTTGCCCTGGTAGCAGTTAGACTGTCTCCAGCACCCCAATTTTATCTGTGACTTCGGTGATTATCACTGTTTTTGGTCGCCATTCGTAGATTCCTCCCCTTGCTAATACTGGTAATACTGACATTCCTAGCGTGAAAAATCGCGGTCAGTGTTGACGGAATTCGACGACCTCTCCACTCAAAACAGGTTTTCGGCAGACAGCCAAAAGTTCACTGGGTCCTGATATTCATGGGTAAATGCTGCCCTGGAATCTTTCAAAATTTCTACTTCATCGTCGCAAAAATCGATCTCTCGCTTTATTCATTCTCCTTAGAAGTCAACGCTATACAAAATAGCTTAGTTTGAGTGGGCGGGGGCGCGGTAGTGGCACTTGGCGCTGCTGCCACTCCTGTGGATAATAGGATAATATCTCAGATCGAATCCAACTCAAGTCAATCAAGTCTTCCATCCTGTAAGCAGTCGTTTCTATCGGGTTCGTCTGGAAGTATACGGCAGTGCGTCTGCTTCTGCTAACCAATGAGGCTAAAAACGTTTCAAATTGTGCTATAATTTCTACATGGCAGTCGAATGCACGGCGTAGCCAAAGCGGATGAAATTGCTCCAGCGCTTTTTTCTTCATTACCAATTGATGGACGCAATTCATCCCCTCTCATGACCACAGTAGTTCAGCGTAGATTTCTGGAGCAATCCACCCTTAGGGTGTTTCGGGGCATTTCGCTAGTCGGAACTGTCTCTTTTGACAAGCGGATAATTTTCGTCCTCCAGTAGCTCGAAAATATTAGGTGGCGATTAATTTAGCATGTGTCGATATCGTACGCGCTTGCGGAAGGCAAGAAAATGAGTGCGATGTTGTGCCTTGACATCTTCCTCAATTTTCAAGCGAAGAAGTATGTATTCCATGAGAGCGAAGAACATGACTGAGGCATGGCGACCTTAAAAAATTGGTTGTTTTTACAACATAGCCTATCTTTTCTTGAGACATTTTGCTCAGTAGCTGGATGTGATTGCTCAAAACCACGTGGCTTTGTAGCGCTTAACGTGACCTTTTCCTGGCATGCATAAATTTTTCAGTATAGTACACCGGGGTGCTTTCGATGTGTCAGATGGTGGCGGCTGACGCGTCTGACGTTAGAGCTACCACGTCACACACGGTGCCATTTTGCGCGCCCTTTAATGCTTCGATGTCGATCGTATCACTCTGTTCGGCTCAGATTTCTCGTTGCTCATTGCAGGATGCAGCGTTCGGTCCGTCTGGTACTCTCGAATGCTCGACAAGTCCGGGCGTCAACCCGGGCCATTGCGACCGCAACTACCTCGAAGCGGGAGAAAATCAAGGTGGACAATCCTGTGGTGGATCTCGATGGCGATGAAATGACTCGGATTATCTGGGACAACATCAAGAAGAAGGTATGACTCGTTCCGAAACTGCTCTAAGTGCTTGGGTGCTTCCGTTTGCTTTCGTGGTATCGTTGTGGTCGAACTACATATAATAGACGAGTCGCGCCGTGACTTATCGCGCCGTCACCTAATGCGGCATTCACTCTCTAAGTAGTGCGAATATCTGCGTCCAATTTTCAATTCTTATTTAGTGGCCATATTGCAGGGTGCTCCAAAAATGATTTTCTCTCACATGAAATAGTAGTGACTGAGGCGCTAGTGTAGAAGTCCGCCCGCTGGAAACTTTCCAATTTTTCGGGAGCGAGGTAGGAAGCTTTGGGGTGGGTGAACCAATTCAGATTCGCAGAAATTAAACTAATTAATAATCACTTTTTCTTAACATTCATAACAATAGAAGAGTTGTTTTGGTTCTGAACGCAGTCAGTGTGATTTTGTAGGTGGTTTGAGAAGGGTGTCCCCCAAGAGGCCCATCGCGCGGCGAAGGAAGAGACGCAGATGCGGCAAAGGACGAGTCGCAGCGCGTGCTGTGCGATATGAGACGTAGTATGGTACACTCTATTTAACCTGACGCCTAACCGCTACAGTATGCGCTGCGACTCGTCCTTCGCCGTGTGATGGTCCTCTTGGGGACACCCGTTTGAGAATAGAAAAAGAAAAATCTGTTGACACTCACGAGACAGGATTCTCATTTAGAGCGTTTTAGGGACGAGTCTAGGTCTTAGAATTGATTGCTCGGGCAAAGGTACCTTGTCAGATCCCGCAACACAACAAAATTGCAAAGTACGACTGTTTGACCAATCTTCGTTCACAGTGAAAGTCGAGCGTTAGTTAGCGGGATTTGTGGGCGGGGCGCTTTCGGCACGGTGCGGTATTTAGGCTTAGATGCTTATTGCGCTACAGTGAAGACACCTTTCGAGAGACCTTGTGAGAGCAATGCTCATTTTATCTTTTGAAGCCTGGCTACCGCTTCCAATAGAGTACATATTGTACTAACAGAGCACCATCTCAAGCCTCTTATTGAACGCTCGGCTGCTGCGGGATCTGTTTCCACAGTTCCAGTACGAAGAGGGATCATTATCCATCACGAGGACCTGAAAAAGACCGATTTATCTTAACTCCAGTTTTATCTTATCTACTAATTGAAATGCTTCTGGCCTTCTGTTTCCAAGTGTTCTCCCTCCCATTGACCCTTGAACACGGCAGATATAGCAATTATGAGCCCTTGTGGTCCAGAGACCAGAAATGAGTTGGAGCCTTAGAATCCGAATTTTCTCGACGTTCTGATTCGCTACGGTTTCTTCCATCTTCCAAAACCGCCATAAGGAGCTTTTGGAGCCTGGGGTACGCGGTTCAATAGGTAATAGTGTGGGTACTAACAGAAGCAGCCGATGCTCAAGCGCCTTGGTTATTGAAGCTGCTCGCTTGGGCGGGGATCTGGTTGCACGGGCCGGAGTGGAGGCGAACGAGGCGATGTGTTATCGATCCGAGGGCGGGTGAGGACGGGTAAACAGCACGATTAATCTTAACTCAATTCATCTTCAGTATGTGAGCTAATTGAATTGTTCGTGGCATATGCTGTGGTCGTGGTGTCTGGCGCCTGGCCAATGACCCATTGAACACGGCAGATTATAGCAATTAGTGAGCCCAGTGGTGTGGTCAAAGAGACCAGTAAATGAGTTGGGAAGCTTAGAATATGCCGAATTTTTCTCGAGCGTTTTCTTTGGATACTCGCCATACGCGATCTCTATACTTGCCGCGTCTCTTTTCCAGTTACCAATAACGCCATAAGGCCTTGACCCGGAGTGTCGTCTCCCTTTTTCGATTTTCAGCGATTTTCAAGTCTGCATGACACCTCGGAGCGTTCGGGGCTTCTGAGAGTTGTGCGCGATTTTCCGACTGGTGTTTAAAACGCTCATGGGGTTATTCTTCTGACCATGAACAGAAGACACACTAGCAGCGGCGGAGTGGCTCAGGGGCTCTTATTGAACGACTCTCGGCTGAATGGGGACTTCTTCACAGTTCAGTGACGAGAGCGGATCATTCATTCCGTCCACCGAGGACGCTGTAAGCAATTTCAACAATGGCGAACAATTACTTTCGGGGATGCAAAAATCAATGTTTGCAGCTGAGCGGTCGTGTACACAATGGAGATGATATTGTGTACAAAGTGAAAGTGTAAGGGGCAGTAAAAATAGAAGGAGCGATATCGTTCATTCTACCTTGGTTCCTCATCAAGGTATGTAATGGAACAGCGATTCCCTTGTCAAATGGGCTAGTCTCTGTTCGGATTATGTGAAGGAAACGGAGAACAGAAGAAGTGGCGGAAATGAAGTACAAAACGAGTTGAAACTCTATTCATGATCTAAAATAAGCAAACAGTATTGATACACTGATACTCATCAAAGCAACAGTCCCAGCAGGGTTTTACCTTCGACACTAATGGTGTGGAACGATGCGCTAGCCCTAGTCAAGAACATAAGAAGTGTGACTGAACAAAAAACTCACCTTGGAAAGCCGCTAGAAAGGGAGCTGAACGGCTTCGAAGTGGGCGTGGTTGTGCAGTCCCCTCGGCCGATTCCAACCACGCCCACTTCGAAGCCGTTCAGCTCCTTTTTTGAGAGTTTCTAAGGAGAGTTTTTTGTTCAGTCACACTTCATCTACGCATCGTTTCACAGCATTCGTGTCGAAGGTCAAAACCCTGCTGGGACTGTTGCTGTATAGAACTGGGTTCCTGACAATGGGTGGGCGTAGTGACAAAGTCCTATCGCATGTCTATGAGCAATGACGCAGAGGCAGGTTCAATACTCGTCCCGTCTTCTGTAGCAGTTTGCCTATAGGCTGTGATAGATCACGTCACATGCCGTTGTTTTCGTAAAATCACTGATATCAAATGTTCGCTGTTTCGCTGTTGCGTCTTTTTTTCGAAGCTTATGTTTCTCTACAGTTTCTATATAAGGTCAATCGATAGCGGTTCTTCCATTTTGGAGTTCTGGGTGCTGTTCACCTGGAAGGGAATAAGGAAGGATGGAACGAGTCTTCTGGAGTAAGTGGTGCTATGAGTCGCAATCCTAGTTAACGTCTTCGACTTTTACGGTTGTACGGCAGTTGAATGGATGAGGCTGAATTGTGAGCCTGGGGATGACGTTCAGAGGGGAGATGAGGTCTTGTGGGCTAGCGAAGAAATTACTTGGAGGAGAAAAGGGGTTTCGGAATTTGCGAGTAGTGTTGTACGCATGCCGAGGCTCGTCCCCTCCTCTAAGCTCGGGCGAAAACTTCATCTTCCTGAGTGGTCTTGTGTGTTCCGTACCAAAATGCCACTTCCTTATGTGACAGCGCCGAATTCCAGGTCGTGTTTTCAGGTAAAGCCAGAAAGCACTTAAGAAGGTTGTGCTTCGCGAAGGGTTGCAAAAATTGTTTTTCCATCATTACTGGTGACGACAGTGCGATCTTACAGTAAACGTTGAAACTGAACGTTGAAAGGAACCGCAATAAATAAACATCACGTCTCGACTTCACGTCGTAAAATCAATCGCACCTAGTTCATTACAATATATATGGCGACCATATAGTCCAATATAATACTATATGGCGACCCAAGGGCGCTTCCTTGGCCCTAACAAGGAAAGGCCCTCATGTTGCCATCGTCATTCAAAGTGAGGTGTGAAGTACTATATATGCGTCTCGGAACGCTGATCGGAAATCTCCTTCCAAAAAGTCTGAGTAGGAACCCGAAGCCTCCCCCATCCCTCGTGTGACTTGCTCATGAGCAAACTGATATATGGGGATGTGGAGTAGTGGCTTAGTTTTTTTGACAGGAAGGAGATGTTTTGGGTACCCCCATTAGGCCCGTCGCGCGACGAAAAGGCGAGTCAGCGGACGAGTTGCGCGCGTACTGTAGGTATTTCAAGTTAAATACCCTCGCCTTCAAATAACCAGAAATTGTGCAATTGCAGAAATTGACGTGGCATTAACGTGGCATCGATTCAAGAACATCTTTGAGCACACGTGATGTCACCTTTTCATCGAGAATTTAGCCACGTGTGCCAATGCCACGTCAATTTCTGCAATTGCACAATTTCTGGTCATTTGAAGGCGAGGGTACAATGTTCCATTGTACGTCCTACATCGCACATCACGCGCTGCGACTCGTCCGCGACTCTGCCTTCTTGCCGCGCAACGGGCCTTCAAGCTGCATAAAACATCGGGGGGGGGGGTACCCAGATGTTTTATGCAGCTTGAAAAAAAATAACCGCGATTGTATCTTGCGCTAGCGCCAGAAATTAGTTCTAAAAACAGCCTGGGTGGCCTAGGAATTATGATCGGCCGAATATAAGCTAACATATATAAACGAACGTGTATCCAAGTATTTTTGAAGGGTATTGGCAAACAAAGGAACAACTCGCAAAGGAACCGGTCCCACGAGCTTTTGTCCAAGAGCCTGGACCACTACCGCTGCATTTTTTGCTTCGTTGGGAGAATCGTGTAGCAAATTTCAAGGACAGATTCGGGACCATCATTTAAAAACGCATAAAGCCGTCTATCTCATCCTGAATGGTCATTGCGACCCGACCTTCCCTTGTAAGCTGCCACAGTAGGCACGACAGCTATCCAACTTGCCTCTGCGTCTCAGTCCTTCGCCACCCATGAGCCCTTGTACTACTCTCACGGGCAGGGTGTGAGCAGCTGAGGTTAAGGAGCAGCAGGGGAGGTAGTTTAAGAATGGTCCTCGATTTTCTAATAACTGCTCCTCAAATCGATCATCCCTTCTATAGAAAAAAGATTCATTTCGAAAACAAATTAATGCTGACTTCTGGTTACGTGGTTTACCTTGCAAGGGTCATTGGGTGACCGCTGGGTTGCCCAGTTATTCAAGACATTCGTGAGATTTCTATATTTCAGCTGATTCTTCCATATCTCGACATCGACATAAAATATTTCGATCTTGGATTACCCCACAGGGATGAGACGAATGATGAGGTGAAGGTTTTGTTTTTCATTTTTCAACATCCCATAGGATGTTCCCTAAAAGGGGGCCCTGGGTGGAAGTAGTGGGGATTCCACGATAAGGATGGAGGTCCGAAGAAGGGAAAATTTACTTAGCGAATAGAAAGGCGGACCCACACGCATTTCAAATCGAATGATGTGCCCATGACAATTAATATGGCCTTGCCCGCGGCGTAGTTGGCGCTATTGGTGTGGTACGCCCCCTCTCATGTATTCTCGTGTCTCAGCTCTAGCCCTTTAGCAGAGAGAGAGAGCGTTAGTTACGTCGAAGAGGGCAGTACCGATGGTTGTCCCATCAATGCGCAAATCAACGGGCGAGAAAGAGGTTGTTCTAGGCCCTGCTTCCTGGTTTTTTCTTCTTTCGTGCAGCACTGACCATTAAACTTAATTTTCGATGGGCCGCCTTTTCATCGTGGAACCTGCGTCCAATGAGTTTGTTTTGAAGGAAAGGGGTTATTTTTCGGGAGTTTGGGTGACTTTAACGATTTCTGCAAAATTGCCGTGATGTATGGGAACGTTTAAATGTGTAGAACTTGCTGTTTCAGCACCATACCACGGGTGTGGTTCATTAGGACAGAAAGCGAATTTTCGCGTTTCGCAGCGCGAAACATTTTCCGCTGCGGGAACCTCAGGTCCACCGCTGATCATCAGTGGACCCGAGGTTCCCGCAGCGAAAAATCAGTGGACCCGAGGTTCCTGCAGCGAAAATGTTTCGCGCTGCGAAACGCGAAAAATTCGCTTTCTGTCCTAATGAACCACACCCCCATACCACTCCCCACGCCTTCCCTCGCTCGATCTCGACTGCATTTGTTGGGAGAAGGTTCTAGGAATAAAAGCGCACCTTGTGATAGCAGAAACAAATGCTATAAAAATGCTGATGCTGATGGTGATGGTGGTGGGGAGGAAGTCTACGAAAATTTTGAAACCGGTCTAGCGTGGAAGTTGACCGCGCTAATTGCCTCTACAAAGATAGCACTTTCCTGCCACGGCGGAAGTGATATCATCCGTTTGCAGGTTACCCACGCTGCAGCCGAAGCGATCAAAAAATACAGTGTAGGTATCAAATGTGCCACAATTACGCCGGATGAAGCAAGGTTTGTGCAGTTTATAGTTGACGCAATGATGGAAGCAAGTGACGAACTTGCATGTTCAGAGTGAAAGAGTTCAAGCTGAAGAAAATGTGGCTGTCACCAAACGGAACTATTCGTAATATCCTGAACGGTGAGTGACCACTTATGCTCTAGGAATGACCCGGTATGGTCTCAACTTTTGCCTTTTTTCTTTATTCCCCTCAGTTCGCAGTTGCTCAGCTTCACTTTGGAAATGCAGTCCTCTATACTCTTTACAGGTACCGTTTTCCGAGAACCTATCATCTGTAAGAACATCCCTCGTCTGGTGCCTGGTTGGGAGAAGCCAATAGTGATCGGGAGGCATGCCTTCGGAGATCAGGTGTGATCTTATACATAACTGAAATTTAGTCATACATAGTGCTTTACTCTGATAACTTCTCTTTTTCAGTATCGTGCCACCGATCTCGTCGTACCAGAAGGATCAAAGCTGGAGTTTGTTGTAACAGGTGCGTCTTGATTATTAGGTCGACAACAGCTGGCCGCTTTGATCATTTCTCGGTTTTGATTTTTTACTGATTTTTTTATGTTTACATTTTCTCTAGAGCGCTTGTTCATCATAATACGTATCATCATTATCTACAAAGAATTGCTTTGCATAAGAAGTTAGTAGCTGCATTTCTAATTAGTTGCATGACTTCCGATCGAAGGAAAATGGTGTGGTGGTTCCAAAGAAATTCTTCCCGGAAAAGTCATGATTCTATCTCACCCATAAATCACTGGCTTGAGACCCATCGCCCACGATAAGAACGAAAAAAACAAGAAATGTGTTTGTTTCGGTTAACAATTTAAAAAACCGCTACGCGTTAAAGTCCGCCGGACATCTGTCACAGATTGGTGGCAGGAACGCTTCCACTTGTGCTGTCACGGGAAACTCTTTTTGACCTTTCGACTTATTGCACCAACATCTCACACTTCTACTGCATCATATTCTATCGATCGTTTTGTCTCTATTCTCCAAAATCGAACGCTTCAACCGATTCTTTCATTGCGTCGCCTGATACGTAGCCGCCCCAAGGCGCACTTCTTTCCATGCCCCGCCTTTGGCTCCGCGCGACTTACCTTCGATCGTCCATAGTTGGTTCATGTGAATTGTTTGCTCTTCGGAATCTGAATCTTTGTGCGTGAAATTTCGTTTTCAAGGATTTCTTTGAGATCATGTTAGCTACACTCAAATTTCTTTCCAAGGAAAATCGCTGAAGAACAAATTGGCTAGTCGTTTGTTAGGTTAGGTCTGTAAGGCAAATTGAAAGAATTGTTAGCGTGAGGGTTTACATTTTTCTTTTCCTTTTCTTTTACTTCTCTTTTTTTTTCTTTTCCCCGTAAGGTGGGGCTGAACGACCTCTGAAACCAGGCCGTCGCCTTGAAGCTGTTCACACTTGACTTCTCATTTACACTGGCATAAGCCCGGCATGAGGAGGCCGTAGTTCTCGGTGCAAAGCCCATCCGTCCAGCAACCACTCAGAAGGGTCGAATTTGGAGAATCCCATCTTGGGGTTTCGGCTGTCAGAACCGGATCGTTGTGGCTACCCCACTGCCGCTTTTGGAGTGGCTCAGACACTCAGCCACACCTCACCACTGTTAGTACTAGATAGCTAATTGAGGAAACCATTGGGCGCCAACAAGATTATGATGCTGTCGGGCCGTTTTTGGATTGATTAAGGGTTAGGGCGTACTTATTGAAAACCTACAATTTCTAATCTTTACGAGTTTATGGAGATGAAACATACTGTCTCGATCTCAATAAAAAAACGCTCTGGAAAATAATCAAAAGCGACAGATTTGAGACTGAGAATCATTTAGTGTTGCGATGTGCATTATCTTTTAATTCTATGTAGTTGAAAATGCCACCGACGTTTGGTTTATACCAGCAACGTTACTCGAGATAGAGTGACTTGACCCATCTCCTTTTGATCCATACTTGAGTCTGCCCTATAGGATATCTCATCCGTTGCTAAGAAAAAGGACATCTTGCAATTGGCTATCTTTTCAATTATTCAAAAGTGGATGCTACTTCCCTAGACATGTTTTATTCCTTCGAAATTTTCGAGAATTTGTCAAAGCATACTGCAAAGTAATTCATTAACTGTAGGATAACCAATGATCGCTTAGTAGCATCGCCATGTCTAAGGCATCAAGATATCCACATTTCTGTGATCTCCTCACAATAAAGTGGTAGTGCTGAGCCGAGCACGGCAACGTTCCGTATTCTGGTATGGGTCAATCGTCAGTTGAGAAAATCCCGACGAAAGAGTCGTGTTTGCGGTTTGCGAGAGGAAGGTCTTATTTGGCAGAATCAACATCATCTTGAAAGACATGGAAATAGTAATATTCGATATGTTGGATAATTCCCTGATAAACTCAAGAAATCATGAAAGTTTAATTTTTGTTGAATGTGATATGTTCCCTCCTCCTCCTCCTTTGACATATTTTTCAAAGATGGGAGATGAGTTGATGGAAGGATTGCGACGGGACTACCTGAAGAAGAATTGAGAGAAAAGGGTCTGCATAATGACCTTCCCCCACAAGGGTTGGTCGTATTAACATCGGTCTTCCCCAATGCAATGGTTGACCATTGTCAAGGGGCGGCAGCTGCGCGATAGCTCATCTTTCATATCATTACCGGAAGTTCTGCCACTATCAAAATGTTCAACTCCACACCCAGCCCCCCACTTTCAGATGATCTCTATACGACCCTCCCCCTTGTATTAGCTATGCATGTGTTTGTGTGTGTTTGCGTGTTTTTTCGTATTCAGTAGAAGTGATTCCCCTTCGATATGCTCGCGGTTGCATCGGCTCTGCGGAGCGCGCTATGTCTCCCTTAAGGCCGATGTCAGACTTTGCGAATCGCGCGATTCGCTAGCGTCTGCGGTCGCGTCGCGGCCAGTGAATCACTCAATTGGCTGGTACCGCAACGCGACCGCGGACGCTAGCGAATCGCGCGATTCGCAAAGTCTGACATCGGCCTAACGACGTGAAAGGATGCAACATATATGTACTTTCACTTTTCAAACGGGCGTGACTTTTTCAAAACGAACATATTCCAATAGCGCAGTTATTTTTGGAATTGTAGAGGTTTTTCTCCACGATCTACAGATTTTTTCTCGAAGTTTCAAAAACCACTTTTTTATTAAGGGAGTTGGAAAACTTCCAAGTGAATACGCGTTCCTCCATTTGAAGGCAGATGTTATGATAAATCTATCGCCCGCTGAAAATGAAATTGTAGCTACCAAGAGGTGAAACTGTGGGGAAATGTGGAAAAAAATTTCCGAGAGTGACCTAAAATTTCCTTTTCCGGGCGAGTTTCATTAGTCAGACTCATATGGAACGTGTGATTTGATCTTGTGCGAAGCGACGAACCGGCTAGAGTATCGACCCTAGTTGGTAGCGATTGGTGGCGTGGAAAGCTGCGATGAGTATCCAGCGCCGGGGGTCAGGCCCTGTTAAGCCGGCAGAGCAGCACCCGCAGCAGGAGCCCCTCATATCGCACCTTTATGGGGCCTGCTTCCCTTTTCAGTAGCTACAGTTCTTCTCTTTCGAAGCGCGATAATGCGCTAGAGTCCGACAGCGAGGTGGTAGCCAAATTGGTGGCGTGGAAAGCTGCGATGAGTATCCAGCGCCGGGGGTCAGGCCCTGTTAAGCCGGCAGAGCAGCACCCGCAGCAGGAGCCCCTCATATCGCACCTTTATGGGGCCTGCTTCCCTTTTCAGTAGCTACAGTTCTTCTCTTTCAACTTCCATTTTTATTGCGAAGCTTGCATTGCGGAGGCATCTTTATTCAATTCAAATGCAGTTTTATGTGAAGGCGTAGTATGATTTCTAAAACCCAAATTATGCTTCTCTTAGGAAGTACTCTAATTAGCGCAACAATTTAGTTCCGTCGAGAAATCTTTCCTCTTGCTTTTTCGAGTACATAACAAGTTCTCAACTTTTTACGCTTGTAGCCTACTTCAAAACAAACTTCTCGAAAATCTTCAGGAATCAAAATGAATTACAAGCTTAGCGCTCTTATAATTGCCAAATCTGTTTCTAAACTCTCAAAATTTGACCAATTTTGCTATTTCGGGAGATTTGCGGTACAACTCTTTGAAACGCGAGTTTTATTTGCTTTCAGTGTCAGCAACTTCCTTCAGATTCAATTTTTTGCTGATCTCCAAACTAAAAAGAAACTACGAGGTTAGAATTCTTGGGAGGAAAAGAAGTACTTCGCTGAAAAACTCTTTTTTGAAAGTAGCGTCGTTGTTATTGTTTATGTTAGTTTTTCTGGCTATTCTCCTGAAAGCACGAGTTTTCAACTTCATGTGCCCATGAGCTTCTTCAATATTGTTTTTTATTCAATGAGGTATATACCATGGTGAACACGATCCATTCTTCATAGTACGTTGTTATCTCTCCTGAAACCTAATTAGGAGCCTTGTTTTTGCGAGGATTTTCTATCACGTCTCCAGAGCTCGATCAGCCGAGTTTAGCCTGGAAAATCGTTTCCTCAGTAGGAATCTGTTTACTTGTGCTCACTCACATGTGAAGCGGGTTGCAACAATCCCACTCTAGGATGCGCCATGCACTCGTCTGTAGTCAGAAGTCGCAGTTGCATTTAAAATTCTACATTCTAAGCCTTGAGATTATCAAATTATAAAGCTGGGCTCTGCGCTATCGGCTCCTACTTCCGTTGGCTAAATACAACCCCCTTTTATTTTTTTATTTTTTTATTTTAGAAACGCGAACGCGAGAGCATACAACAGAGCCTAATAGAACAATACGACACTTGATAAACTTGCAAATAACCAAATAAGAGTGTAGGCTATAAAACTTACATCACAACTAAAATAAAACAGAAACAAAGAAAGAAAAAAAAACTCCGGAAACCCCTGACTGGCTCACTTAGAAATCATTCAACCCTTTTTGAACTTGTCACATTGAACGGTTGACACCGTTTCCCGCTCACAGCTTTCCTCTACTAAAGCGGCGAATATGAGCCTTTGAAATCACGCCGTAATACCGATAGCTCATTCACTCATTTCTAACGGAATCGGGGACATGGATGCATCGTGCGTGTGACAAAAGTACGCGTATGTTGGACGCTAAGTTCCAATCGAGGGTCGGGACTTAATCGCGATGCTCTACCACCACCGAGATCAGGCTCAGCGCAGTTGCACAGAAGAACGGTTGTTCTAGAATTCTTTTTCCAGCCCTGTGCTTGTACTCGTAGACATTGGTTGAAGAAGTCGGATGGAGCTCTTCTCAGGATCCGGAAAACGATAATTGTTGTTTCAGCGCCAGACGGTAAGGAAGAAAGGACGACCGTATTCCACTACAAAGGTACAGCTGGAGTTGGAATGGCCATGTACAATACGGATGAGGTGTGACGTATCTTTCGCCAAATAGAGGGAATGGCCTATCAAGCAAATAACTACTGTTCAGAGCATTCGCGGCTTCGCTCATTCGTGCTTCCAGTATGCTCTCATGAAAAAATGGCCATTGTACTTGAGTACGAAAAACACGATTCTGAAGCGATACGACGGGCGCTTCAAAGACATATTCCAAGAAATTTATGAAGAGTAAGTTTTTCATGTGAAGCCAGTACGCCACTATGCACTTACTCGTTTCAGAAATTACGAAAAGGATTTCAAATCAGCGGGCACTTGGTATGAGCACAGATTGATTGACGACCAGGTATTGTTAACTATCATCTAGCCCTACGAGGAGATCGTGAGTAAGCAGTTACGCGTGGAGTGTTTGGCCGAATGCACCCTTATTACTACTACATGCCTTCCATCTTTCACCATGTTTTTGTTTTGAATCTCAGTGAATGTCTGCATTGAAAAAAAAGCATTGTTACTCTACAGTATTTGTAAGTTGCTGATAGAATTTTTCTCTGGACCATTAAACCTGATTGAACCTGTATAAGTTTTTGGAAAAGAACTCTTTCAGGCAGATTTGATGGCCGATGTCGATGCTTCAACATTTCAGGTCGCTCAGTGTCTCAAGAGCGCTGGTGGTTTCGTTTGGGCTTGCAAGAACTACGACGGAGATGTCCAGAGCGATATTGTTGCTCAAGGTGAGGGATGCCTATGGTTTGAAGGGTTGTGAATGTTCACTCGAAACGTCGTCCAAAAAGATTCGATGCTGGTTTTAAGGTTACGGTTCGCTTGGTTTGATGACTTCAGTTCTGATGTGTCCAGACGGAAAGACCATGGAAGCTGAAGCGGCACATGGTACTGTCACACGGCATTACAGAGAATATCAAAAGGTGATACTAGTTTTTAACTTTTTTTATGGGTTATTGATTGAAAAAAAAACAGGTATTCGTGGTAACGCTGTAAGGAGAATAAATTAGCGCATTTCCGAATAGTAGAACCACATAACAACGATAGCTCGCGTTTTAGGGTAACCCGACGTCCACGAATCCGGTAGCATCAATCTTTGCATGGTCCCGAGGACTGCACCATCGTGGAGTATTGGACAAAAACGAGAAGTTGAAAAGGTGAGATTCACACTTGTGCGCCTTCCGTCCACCAGGCTTTTCAAATGGATGATACTGTGGCAAGTATCAGCCCTTCAAAATTCTGGTGGAGGGGAGGGGGGGGGGGTGGATTAGCGTTTGCTTGCGATTCTGGCACCGTTCATCCTTGAGTCATCGCCGTCCGTTAAGCGTACCTAACGTGAAGGGCGCGCCCGGTCAACCGTCTGTTTGAACGACATGTTCGCATCTGCAGGTTTGGGAGGGGGGGGGGTTGGGAGTGCGTGACGGTCGCATTTGGGGTTGTAAGCAAGGTAAACTGTTTCTGGGGAAGTGTGAACGGAGGTTGTTTTAGACTGTTTGACGGGTTTTGGGTTTTTGAGTTTTGCGAAAGTTTCGAGAAGTAGAAATTGATGGATTTGCCGCACCGCTTCATGATACCAATTCCGTTGTCACGAGGTCTGATAGAAACAGTCATGATTGCGAGGGTTGTAATCGGGTAGGGAGGGGGAATGTCTTATTGAGGGCAGCTCTCAAAGGCTGATCGTGGGGGTGGGGGGATGGAGATCGCGAACTTTTTGAAAAGTGAACAATTGTGTGAAAAAAATGTGAACACGACGGTTCACCCTAACGGCACGTCCTCCCACGTGCATGCCGCGCATGTTATCAGGTATGTGTGTGCGTGGGTGACGACGGTGTTCCAGCGCGAGTGGCACGGCGGCAGAATCGCAAAGCCTGACACCCGCCAAGAACTGGAGTTGCGGGTGCGACCAGGGTCAAGCGTGCGTTGAGGAATCCTCGACATGTCACAGAGGGGGGGGGGTCGTATTGGCCCGCTGGGGAGAGATCGGGCCCGATTGATACAGTAGGATCATCGTCGGAGGACAAACATTAAGGATCGAATCGATACCAGGCCAGAGTATTTCCAATAACAATTGATTCCGTCCACACAAAATCTTCGTGATTTAGAGGTGTCCGCTTAGCAATTCTTAGTTACTTCAGTGTTTCATCACCACACAAGTTAAAGAATCCGAAATTCGCACGTTTTCAAGGGATATTTTATCTTTCAAGTAGGTCCTCAAATCCAAGGGATGTGAAGCACACGGCGTATCCCTTAGTGGGTCCAGTTGGCTGCGCGCGCTTCAGTTACGGCTACCTTGATAACGAATCTTAATGCA